TGATTTGTTTTTTTTTTGGAAGGTTAATGCAGCTAAAGGCGGCAATTGTGGTGTAGAGTGGTTTGTGGTCAGAGAACTGACTAGTTAGTTTATCTCGAATATTCCTGTCGATTTGACATTGTAAAATTAATTCTGGATTGTCGCAAAGCAGCACGTCTAGTTGAGTTGGTGCATGTTGTGAAAGATTTAGTTCAACTAATTTGTCCAGTAGTTGACTCTCGTATCTGTCAGATGAGAAGAGTGCTTCCCAGTATGATTGTGAGACATATTATTGTTCGCCGCTATCATCAAGAACCAACTACGACTTCGACTGGTCCCAACATATCTTGTTCAACAATGATCATGGATATTCCACCCGGTATACTGCTTCTTGTTGATTCCATGGGCCAAAACTTCGTCTCTCCAAATCAAATGTTCTGGGTGCGATGTGAGCGCCTCGCCAATCACCTGAGTCATTCAGTTGAAAACGTTCCGATATCTACTTTTTTTATACTGAAGGAGGCTCAACTCCTGAAAATCAGGATGGTACTTGTATCTGTTGGTTTTTGATGTCATCCACAGCTCCCTCTCCTGTCCCTCTCGATGTTAACTTCTAAATCTAGAAATGCAATCTTTACAAAATGAATTTGGTGTTCCAATAATGAACTATAAAGTAGGATGAACTCAATTGGCGGCTTGAACTGTTTTCTCATGGTCACCTGTGACCGTCCGCACAATATCATCAACTTAGCGGAAGAAAATTTTACCGAAAAGAAACTTTTACAATGTCAGACCGTTTTATGTATTTTTCGAAAATCAGCGTCTGATATATCTCCGCATTCAACGTGATACGAGATCAAGCTTCCTTCACTTTCTACCAATTTTGGCCTGTAGACAACCCTTTTGCTGCATTGAGGGGAAATTTCTCTTTAATTTTTTGTGGGTGACATCAATTTAGGATTTTCCAATTATAGTGCATGTTCACCTTTTTTGAGTCAAAGATTTGCTTGATTTGTGGACAGAGAGGCGCCCATTACTAATTTATCATTCTGAACAAACCACAAACAAAGTTTCATTGCCATTAAAATGCCCTCAACTGACGGTCGTTTTAGTAATTTTTTTACAGTCTTTCTCGCCATTGCCGCTAATTTTTCCGGCTCATATAACACTCTAACCGCTGTTTCAATTACTTTCTTGAGACAAACATTTGTTTATAAACTTTTAAAAACAACTGAAATTCATTTCTAAAATCAGAAATTTTTACATCAATATTGCGGCCCATGTTGACCTCTGATAATTCTTTTTTCAATTCAGTGAGGTATGAACTTAAAAAGCCGGCGTTGTCAAATTTAAGGGATTGGTCGACGCAAGTACTCAGGTAAATTCAAAGGCTATGAAATCGGAATGTCGAGATTGGTCATCAGATGGCTTGACTTACTGGATGCAGCCCCTGCATTGATGGTTCAAAAAAGAATGAGAAGTAAAGAAATTGTGCTTGGCACAAAAAAATATAAAATCAGTGGATAAATAACCATTGTTTTTGTTCTAACAACTGATGTTGGGGAGAAATTTTGCCTTCGGGTAGGCTTTTTTGAGGATTTTTTCTTCGAAAGCAAACACCACGAAAATACTTATAAAGGTCGAGTGATACACTATTATAGATTCCTTTCAGTCGTTCGAGATTCAACCAAAAGTTAAGCATTTCCAGAGAAAGCCTCATCGGCAAGAAAAAAAATACAAACCTTGTCGAAACTGCATGTCTACTTTCGAGCGAACGAAGAAAGCGGTCAGGCTAATAAAACAACAGCAAATTTAACTAAAAACTTTTAAAAGTTAATTATAATTTTCCGCAGATTTTGAGCAAAGTGTAGATGAAAGCTTTTGCTAAGTCGACCAAAAGATTAAAGATCAAGAAAATGACAACCATGTGTAAAAACTTCAAAATTTCTGACCAAATTAATCATACAACTTTAAATTATAATCATAATTAAACAAATTGAATTAATTTAAAATTTTTTAAAAGTTTTCCTATAATTTTCTGAGGTATTTATCAGTTTTATGTTCTCTTAACCGTTATAACTTTTGGTTTCGGGATTATGAGCGTTATTTGAATTTAGTAGCCCTGTTTGTATATGGACCAAACAATTTAGTGTTAGTTCACTACTCATGAATTCTTTGCGAGTATCGATTTACCATCCAGTGTGAGCATGACGTCTAGTGATTTTCCGTCTAGTCATAACTCTAGAGTGAGTATTTCAGGGGGTTGCCTATTTGGTCGTTAATCTCTGAATTCAGCTCAGCGGTTCCGCCTACCTCCTAGCTCATTTTTGCAAAGGCTAATTTCCTGGGGAATCTTCTTTGCAATATCCATACCCTTGTGGCTAAATGTTGCACTGTCTCGCCAATAGTGGTGGAACATCTTCCAATATTTATCAACTTATACATCAAATTGGATCTCAGTTCACGTGCAGAAGAAGTTTCATGGGATGGCAAGCAAATTTTGAAGTTCTTGGGTAAAAATCATTAGTGCCCGGATATTTGTTCCCTTTGTGCAGCCTGTTGTGTCTACGACATTTGAACTTTATTCTTTGCCGAACCTACTTTTGCCACATTTTCGACATGAATATGCCGCCAAATTACTAAACTGAAAGACTCAAAACTCAAAAATCAAAAAAGAAATCATTTAAAAAGAAACAACTAAACTACGATCTGAAATTGGAATCTTAATCAACCAAAACGTATTGCCATTGTCATTGGCGCACAATAGTTTTTAAAAAAAGAAACCGAAACCAAGGTTTTTTTTGTTTGAAAAATTAACGAACCCATCCTCATACTAACCAATCATATTGTTTACTTTTTTTTCTTTTTTTTTGGATTGTAAGTTCCAAAGAAAAAAAAAACTCAAAATCATTTTTTTTGTTACAATACAATTGCGAGGGTTCCATGTAATCAAAGGAATTACATATTGGCCATTTTACATTTTGTCTGACACGTCAAAACATGAATTAAGTTTAGGAGACATAGTCAATTAAAAATGAATTCAACCTATGGTGCTGTTTTTAAAGTCATAGAAACAGACGTAGAAATTTTAGCAAAAGCAATTAACCAAGCCATAAGCGATTCCGACGAAGTACAGATCATCAACGATTTCGTAACGGAATTGAAGAGCTTGCTTGACGATGCCAATAACGAAGCAGTCAAGATAATACGCACCGGAACGGACCAGCAAGACTCAATCATTGAACGATTGAAAACTTTGAAAGTTTTGTACCGAACGATCAAACTACGATCAAAAAGATACGAGCGTACCCTCAACAACACTGCCACGTCTTCTTTAAACTCACATCACGAGTAGCCAATAACGTCTCGACGCCTTCAATAATACTGCAAGCCTTGGAAAATCTTCCCCTTCGACGCCAAACGGAAAGTTTAACCCGTAGTACCACTACACAAAACGTCACCATGGACCAGGACACCCCGGACGATTTGCCACAATTTTCAGGATTGCCAGCAATCTTAAACGCTACTTCAAACCACAGATCAAAGTCCGCCCAGGACAATTCAGGACTCCTACTTCGCCCCGGATCTAACAGCGACGCCAATACCTTGGATCATCGCATTCATCAACAACAAACAGAAACTCTTGGAACTCAAACTGCCCATGGAACTCACCTCCATCCTCAGTCAAACCTCTCCTTGCAGCAGCCGAACGCCGACTTGTCACAAAGTTCAAACCTTCAGCCGAACCACCCAGAAGCTCAACTTCAAAGAACGACTATAGAATTGAACAAAGGAACTCAACTCCAAATTGACAGCAACAGTGGGACAAAGACCGAACTCAGAAGTTCAACTTCATGAAACGTCACCGCACTCCAACCCTGGAACTCAAATCCAAGTTTTCAATCAGCAGATGAACGCACCAGCAACCCGACAAAGAAATGTTTCAGCGCCAATATTTCTTCCGACAGCAACTTCAAAAGCAGCTCAGAGTCAAATGATTGGACAGCAAATCACACACCCAATTCTTGCTCCCCAGACAGCTAGTCCCCCACATGGACTATACCAGCCTTCACGCCAACAACAGAACCAGCCTTCAAGCCAACAACAGAACCAGCCTTCAAGCCAACAACAGAGGACACATAATCCGAATAGCACCATTAGACCCATCTTGACGATTGGAAATCAGAATTCAACCAATCATCCCCCCACCAACGTGTTCAGTGAACACCAGACGACAACTAAGGGTATCACAAACAACAACGGAGTACCGATACCTGCACAACCAGCACTACTGTCAACAAACCAAGGAGATCAACGAACAGCAACAAATTGGACCTCCAGCCAGCCGACCCTGACTCACCAATGTACACAACCTGCCATACGATCGTACCAGGAAGGATTTCTGGGAACCACGACAGCATACAACCCTACGAACATGCCGACATCATCAACAACAGCCTTCACTCATGCAGGTTGCAGGGGACCAACAGGAACAACTCACCCAAATATCAACCGACCTCCCCCTCATCAACATGCAGTCCATCAACATGCAGCACATCAACATGCAGTACATCATCATGCAGCACATCAGAACCAACCGACTTATTTTCCGATTCGGACCAACCTTCGAACAGCACCGATAGACCACAAAAATCATCACACGATCTCGAAGATATTCAGGAAAACAGTGCCCATTGTCAAACCATTCATATTCGACGGAGAACCTGAACAATGGTTAGATTGGATAGGACTGTTCAACGCAACCATCAGCAGCACCGACATGACAAACTCGGAAAAGATGACACATCTGCAGAAACTTGTATCCGGAGATGCCAAATCTCTCATCCGAGGATATGGATGCAATGGAGCAATGTATGACGCAGCCCTTCAGCGACTGGAAAAACGACTTTGGTAACCCGACGAAGATAGTTACATCCTTCCTTCGACTACTCGACGCCATCAGCGGCCCCAATCTACGACATACCAGAAGCTACAAGGACTTCGCTAACTTCCTACAGACAATGTTCGATACATTCACGACACTTGGATTCCAGCACGATCTACACTCTACGACAAATGTCCAAACAGTTTTGTCAAAACTGCCTACCCCTTGCCGACTAGAATGGAATAGATACAATCTGCAATGCAACATCAGACAACCATCACTCATCGACCTCACCAATTGGTTCAACATCTACGCCGAAGCATGCAGCGATTTGCCGAGCAACAGCAACAACAACAACAACACCACCAGAAACAGCAGCAGCAGCAGCAACAACTACAACAGCAGCAACACTCAAGGATCATCATCCAACGGTCACACCCACCAACATGGACCATCGGATCACCGCGCCAATCAGAACAACCGGAACCAGCAACGCAGCCAGTAGCAACATAAATCTGGACAAAAAGATCAACGACGAGATTTTTGCCCGGAGAAACGCAATTGCCAGTACCTTGGAAAATGCCAACACTTCATCGCAATGAACCCAAAGGACAGATTACAGCATGCCAGGGACCTACAACTATGTTTCAACTGCTTCAGCCCCCACAAGTTCGCCGACTGTCAATCAACGCAAACCTGCCGGACGGACGGATGCAGTAAGAAACACCACACACTTCTGCACAACAGCAGCACCTACAACTCGAGGACACAGAGGGAGACAGCTAACCGGAACTCCAGACAACATGACGACACCACCAACTGCAGCACCAGCATAAGCAGAAGGAAATCGACTGGCCACATTCCGACCCTGTCAATAACGATCTCTCATGACAAACATAGAGTTCATGCCTATGCAATGCTTGATTGTGGAAGCAAACTGACATTGCTTAAATCATCAGTCGCCCCTCCAACTCAAACCAGATCTGTAATTAGACGACACCATCCAGCTAAACCAAGCACTGACATCATCAGACACAGCTTCTACAAAGATGACGATCGCGATTGGACCCTACAACCAGCAAAAGCAGCCATTTCAACTAAATGACATCGACGTCATAATGGATTGGAACCTTTCCCAATTCAACCCTGAACTCGTCAACTCCATCTGCCAAAGGAACGAGCCACTTCAACACATTCGGATAGCCACACTGCCCTCGAAAAAAATCGGAATCATCAATGGATGTGATTTTGCCGAACTCGTGACACCTTCAGAAGTAATCCATTCAAAACAAAATGTGCCTATTGGATGGAAAACGCCACTTGGATGGTCTCTCTTTGGACGAGACAATGCAGCGACACCCAACGACATCAACACAATCAACTTCACGACAGACGATACACTGTCTCGCCATGTAGCTGAATGGATGAAAATGGACGCGGAAGGGATTTCAACTGACCAACGCAGCCTCTCAACAGACGACAAGGAAGCTCTCCGCATCTTGGAATCTTCAACAACCCGCTTGCCCAATGGACACTACGAAGTTGGAATGCTTCGAAAAGCGTGGACAACAACTGCCAAACAATAGATGGCTTGCCAAGAAGCAGCTCGACAGCCTTCTCCAACGACTGAAGAGAAACACCGAGATGGCACAGAAATATCAGGAGATCATCGACACCGACTTGCAGAAAGGTTTCATAGTCAAAGTTGATGATTCCTATGAAGACTTCTTCTTCTTCTTTTGTCATTTACGCCCCGTGAGGGGGCCTTGATTCCCAGTTTCCAGGACATGTGATCCTGTGTCTTGACTTGTTGTTTTTTGTCACCCAAGTACCGCATTCTTCGCATTGGATTCTGGCTCTCGTTCCGGCGAATCGTCCTGTGATAATGGTGTTGGTTACTTCTGGGGCTGTCGGGTGCTCTCCTCGACAGGTCCTTCGGTGTCTTGCCATGTTGCTCAATGACAAGGACTTCTGACACTTCGGACAGAACCCACCCTGACCTCCTTGGCACGCCTTGAAGTGGTTTGTCAGAGCAGCCTGGTCCGAGAAACTGTCGTTGCACTTTGGACACTTGTAGTCCACTGACTCCCTTCTGTGTGCTTTTCTCTCGTGATTCGTCCGTCCTCCTTTTGATGCGCACTTCTTGTCGCATCCGTCCCAGCGGCAAGGCCAACCGCTGTCACTTATTCTCTCTCGATTCCATTGTGAGCGGGCCGGTTTTTCCGATCCTCTGTGCCAGTTGCACATTTACGTCTCCCAGTTTTTGAGGAACGTCCTGCGATCTGTAACGGTCTTCTTCCATCGTTTCCGGCATTGGTGAGGTTCTCGCTGTTGTCGTCTTCATGTCCCGCTTCTTTCAGCAGTCTGCGCCAGTACTGGATGGTGTTGCCTCGCGAGTTCCCACTGCGTGTCCTCTCCATGTCCCAGGATCCGAGGACGGCTTTCTTCACAATCCTCTCAACCGACATTCTGAGAACGTGGCCCATTCGCTCTAATGCTCTGCACTCGATCTTGGTCCTTATCGATTCAATATTCAGCTGTCTGCGGATCTCGTAGCTGTTGACTCCTTCATTCTGCATCCTGGTCAGTGTGAGAGGTTTTCCATTGTTCCACACAAACCTGTAGGCTCTGTCTGCAACGCTCTGGAACTTCTGGATGTCGGTCGGTGTCCATGCTCTAACGCTACAGTCGAACAGGAGAGTGGACTCCACTACGGCTTGGACCACCAATGCTCTGGTGCGCTTGGAGAGGCTCGAATTCCAGAGCCATTGCTTCACTCTGCTCCACGCGTGGTACCCTCCCTTGATCCCGGCTCCTCGGTCTTCTCGTTTCCCGATGAGGGTTCTCAGCATTCTAGTCTTCTGGGCGCTGGTTGTTGCAAAAGTGATGGACTCTTCTTTGCCGTCGTGGCATTTCTCTTCAAACTCCATCATTTTCTTCTTGATCACCTCTTTCCCTGTGACGAGCTCTTTGGTCCAACCAAGTAGAGAGGTGTCGTCTGCGAACAACGAGTCCTCCAGGATGAAATTACACTTGTTGCTGCTACGCAATGCTCTGGGTGCTTCTCTCGGTGGGAGGCTGCCTCCTGGTGTCCACCTCCAGGTGAGACCGCACTCTTGGCCTCTCTCCGACGCCTCCTTTCTCCGTTCTCTTTCAGCTCTTCTTATTGCTTCGGCATGGTATACGTTGAAGAGGATAGGTGATGTTGCGCACCCCTCTCTGAGTCCTCTGGCGGGAGCCCAATCATCGCTGAGACCTTCCTTACCTTTCACCCGGTATCACGTTTCTTCATGGAGACCTTTCAGCAGGTCGAGCACCTTGTCCGTCATGCCAAATCTGGCTAACATACCGCACAGAAGGGGTTTGTTGGTGCGAGGGTAAGCCTTAGTGATGTCTAGGAGGACAGCCCCTGGCCGGTTCTCGTTGCACTCGTCTGTCATCCCGTGCACTCTTCTTGTTTCATCTTCCATCCGGATAATGGTCTGCGTTGAGTCAGCCGTAGACCTTCCACCACGGAAACCGTTCTGGTTCTCATCCAGAACGCCAATGGTTTCTGCCCATGTCCGGAGTCTCGTCGCGAAGATCCGTGCGATCAGTCTGCTTGCCAGTGGTAACAGGCACACTCCACTGTAGTTGCCCAGGTCGTTTTTGGGACCTTTCTTGTGCAGGGGAATGACTCAGCCTTCCTTTATTTCTTCTGGCCAGTCCTCCGGCTTCACGTCTATCAACCGCACAATCATCCTGTGGAGCTGCTGCTTAATTGGTTTGCTGGCCAACTTTACTGCTAGCATCCGAACACCGTCGTTCCCTGGTGCTCCATCCCTCATCTTGGCCAACTCCGTTTCAAACTCCCTCCACGTGACCACTCTCTCCAGTTCAATGCCCGCTTCCAGTGCTTTCTGGTCGGTGCGCTCGTGGATCTCTTCCAGGGTCTTAACGATCTCGTCTCGTCCTCTTTCGTATCTGTTCTCTGATACTTTCATAAAGTGACTTCGGAACTCTTCGGGGCTGAAGGTTTCGTCCTCAAAAGTGCAGTTGTCTCTGATTCCAATACGCTTCAGGGTCTTGTACAGCGTCCCGATGTCCCCTTGGAGTTCTGCCTTCCTCGCGTCTTCGACAATTTCCATCCACCACTCTTCTTCCCACCGTTTCTTCGCTTTTTTGTAGTCTTTCCTGACCGTCTTCCGCTCTTCTCTCGCTGTCAGGATGTTGTTGTTCATTTCCTGGGTAAGTTGAGAGATAAGGTTCTGAAAGTTGTCGATCTCTTCCAGGTGAGTATCTAGCCACGGGCTCAAGTTTCGTTTCGCTTAGGACCCACAGGCTAGATTTCCCGCTTTCTCAAACAGCTTCATTGCGTCGTTCCAGTCTTCCACTGAATCCTCCGGGTTCTCGATTTTTTCTTGGAATTTCGCTGCCACTTCTTGGATCTTCAGCTTGTCCCAATCCACAGTCCGTCTGCACTGGACCTTCGTCGAACCGTGGTGGCGCTTCTTCTTCTCTTCCAGAGTGCAGGTCATCCTCTTCGCCCGGTGGTCGCTCAGTTTGTTCACTCCCAACGTGCTGACGTTGATGACTCTTCGGCTTCTCTCCTTCTGCTTAACCAGAAAGCCGTCTAGCTCGTGCCAGCTTCTTGTGTTGGAAGAACGAGTTCACCCACGCTAACGGGTTGGCGTGGCACCACTCGATCAGGTCCACTCCTGCAGTATTCGTCTTGCCCAGCCCGAACTTCCCTGCGACTGTGTCTCTGTTCCGTTCTCTGGTGTCCCCCACGCTGGAGTTGAAGTCTCCGCCGATCACCAAGAGGTTCTTGGTTATCATCATATCTTCCAGTTCCTCTCTGTATCTGGCGAAATCGTCCGTTTGTCCTTCCCACAGAGGTTGGTACGTGGCCACGAACCTCACTCCGCTCATATCCACTGCCGTGTTTCTGTCGCCACACTGTCTCTTGTATCCTTGTTCCTTCCACTCCACCGCCCACAGGACTGAAGAGAAACACCGAGATGGCACAGAAATATCAGGAGATCATCGACACCGACTTGCAGAAAGGTTTCATAGTCAAAGTTGATGATTCCTATGAAGACTCAACAGGAAAATGGTACCTTCCTCATCATCCAGTGACAAACATCAATAAACCTGGCAAGGTACGCCGAGTCCTTAATGCATCGAGCATCTACAAAGGAGTATCACTCAACAGCAACCTACTAACTGGACCAGACCTCGTCACAAACCTTACTGGAATCGTTATGCGATTTCGCGAGTACCAAATCGCTATTTCTGCCGACATTGAAGCAATGTTCATGCAGGTCTTCGTGAGCCGAGAGGAACAGCCGTATTTGCAATTTCTGTGGAAGGACAACACGGGCCAACCCGCAACTTTCCAATACACCCGCCACATCTTCGGAGCTACCGACTCACCATGTGTTGCCTGCTACGCCACTCGACAATGTGCGAAGGACAATGCCGACAAATATCCAGCCTTGGAGCAAATCACAAAACGCAACATATACATGGACGACCTATACAAAGCAGTTTCAACACCGACGGAAGCGACACAGTTAATGAACGACCTTCAAAAGATGTTCAGCCTTGGAGGTTTCAACCTCACAAAATGGACCTCAAACTCTCAACAATTCCTCACAACAGTCAACGAGAACCACTTGGAAAACAGCGACAGCCTCACCAAGAAGGAAGGACCCCTCGAAAGAGTTCTTGGAGTGAAATGGAAACTAGACACGGACGTCTTTCTTGTGGAAGCAAAGAAGTTTCACGCCATTGACAAGAAGGACTTAACGCAGCGCAAACTATTGAAGTTTGCTTCTTCAATCTTTGACCCGCTTGGAATTACGATGCCACTGACAATTCGACTACGACAATCACTTCAACTTGCCTGGAGTAATGTACCTCAATGGGACAAACCTCTAAACATGAAGCATTTAACAGACCTCAACGATTGGATAGACAAGCGAAGCCAATTCAAAGACATCTGCCTGCCCCGGATTTACTTCAAACCAGAAACGAAGATACTGGAAACCCAACTCCATGTATTCAGCGACGCCTCCGAACTTGCCTTAGCATCAGTTGCTTACCTCAGAATCAGATACGACGACGACACAACGGAACTCAAGTTCGCCATTGGAAAAGCCCGAGTAGCACCCATCAGCAGAATGACAATTCCAAATCTCGAGCTTCAAGCCGCCACTAACGGAGCTAAACTGTCTCGTTTCATCAAAGAACAACATGACATACGAATCGACAGTACGACACTATGGACAGATAGTACAACAGTTCGTCATTGGATAAATTCGCCGAATCAACGACACCGGATCTTCATTGCCAACCGCCTGAATTTCATCATGGACTCAACATCTTCACTGGACTGGAGATACGTGCCCAGCAAAGACAACGCATGGTTACAAAGCATGTGACTTGACTACCGATTCACGATGGATCAAAGGACCAGACTTCTTGTTAAGACCATCATCAGATTGGCCTAATCACCCGCCAACACAACCTACAGCCGATATTCATCTGACAGACAACGACCCACAACCGCCAACATCAGTAATCGACTTCAACCGATTTAGCACTTGGACAAGAGCACTCAGAGTTACTTCATATGTTCTTCTCTTCGCAGAAAACATCAAAAGGAAGACACGCCAGAGCCTCTCACTTCAACACCTCACCTTAGGATTCGCATGGATCATTAAACACTCACAGAATCAATCATTCCCCAAGGAAATAGCATGCCTGACAAAGAAATCTGACATTCCACCCCGCAGCCCTCTACAACCTCTTTGCCCCTTCATTGACTATCACGGATACTTACGTGCCAAAGGACGACTACAGAAAGCTTCTACTTTGCAGCCGACATCCAGTCTTTCTGAACGCAGAAAACTACCCAATACAACACTTCATGAAGCAAACACACGAAATGCATACCTTGCCGACGCCTTCGACAGGAACCAGTGAAGCCTCTGATGGCAGATCTACCCCTACAACGAATCCCTTTATCGGAAAACAGTTACCCCTTCTACTCAACAGGAATTGACTTCTTTGGACCCTTTGCCACGCGGAACAACGACGAGTACAGTAAGCGATACGTTCTCTTCTTCACCTGCCTCGTCACGCGAACAGTTCATTCAGAAATATGCCAGCAAATCGACACAAACTCAACTCTACAAGCCATACGCCGTTTCATCGCTAGACGCGGTAAACCCAGGATCATCTTCTCTGACAACGGAAAAGCCTTCGTTGCAGCTGACAAGGAATTACAGGAAAGCCTTTCTGAGATTCAACACAGCAACGACTTCAACAATCAATGCTAATTACTTGGAATAACCTGGAAGTTCAACCCACCTGCAGCTCCTCACTTTGGTGGACCATCGGAACGCCTCATAAAAATATTTAAGATTGCCTTCTACAAAGTCATTGGAACACGGACACTGGACGACGAAACTCTGTCAACCTTCACGTGCGAGGTTGAAGCTATTATGAATTCTCGCCCGCTAACCCACGTCTCATCAGACCCAACCGACGACGAGCCCCTTACACTCAATCACCTTCTACTAGGACGACCAACAAACAATTTGCCTCCCGGGTTGTTTCTCCCTCGCCACACAACGGACAAGAGAACTTGGAAACAAGCTCAAGCCTTGAGTCAACAGTTCTGGAACAGATACCTCAAAGACTACTTGCCAACCTTGACGACCCGAACGAAATGGACAAAGCAAGTGGAAAATCTTCAGGAAGGAGACCTTGTATGGATATTGGAAGACCTAACACCTCGAGGTCTTTGGCCCCTGGGACGGGTACTTCGTACTTTCCCAGGTGCAGACGGAATCGTTCGCTCCTGCGAAATTAAAACTAGCAGGGGGATTCTACACCGACCAGCAGTCAAACTCTCGCGAGTATTGGACCACAGTAACAACTAGATGACCAACATGATCAACGACAGCTAACAACTAGATGACCATTACAATCAACGACGACGTACCATCAGCTTCAACGAACAATTTTCTAATTTGCAACCTGCAAATGGGCCCGGCTATGTCTACGACATTTGAACTTTATTCTTTGCCGAACCTAATTTTGCCACATTTTCGACATGAATATGCCGCCAAATTAGTAAACTGAAAAACTCAAAACTCAAAAATCAGAAAAAAAATAATTTAAAAAGAAACAACTAAACTACGATCTGAAAGTGGAATCTTAATCAACCAAAACGTATTGCCATTGTCATGATTCGATTGTTCGCATGAAACTTGCATTGTCAAAAGAGATGAGGGTGAGTCTTCCAAACATTTCATATTCCTCGATGCCGGAAATTTTGAAGTCTTCTTTCTGTCAATGATCTTGTTAGAATCATTAGATGCCACCCTTTTCGTTCATTTTTCTGAATATTGATTTTCAAGGAACTGCTTTGATTTTTTCTCCAAAGCTTTGTACAATTTTACCCTTGTTGAGGTACTTCTGAAAGCCTGAAGGAACTTTACCTCAAAAAAATGTTGTCGCTTCTGCAAAAATGTGCAGCCTTTAAAAAAGCGAAGTGTGCCCATATCAATAGTTTTTTGTTACATCCTTCATGAAAATTGTTTACATGTATTTCCAGATGTCCAGAGAGACCATTTTTATCAAGTTATGCTGTAGTAATCTGCAAGTTTGGCTAAAAACTGAAAGCAGCGACCAAGAATACCCCAGAATGGCCCCTCACTATTCTAACAATGTCAACCTTATATCGAAGAACACTTTTAGTTCCCTTCTCGGAGCGATCCATTTCCTATTGCCTCATGCACATTTTTCACTATCAGACAGTTTCAGCGACGTTTATGCTGCTAACACGCCTTAAGAAGTATTTCTTGTGCCATTACCCCGGAATGGCACAGTCGAACCATCCGACGAGAATGAAATGGACGTAAGTGAGGTTAGAGACGAAATTATAACGAAAAGAAGGGTCAGAAAATCTGGAATTTTCAAATTTGTAATTTTGGATTCTCAAGAAAATTAATTTTGAGATTGCGGGAATGGCCCTTTTAAACAAAAAAGAGAATGAATACAGAACAAACCAAGACGCCGATAAAACAAGTTGTGAAGAAAGCAAAAGAAAACACGAAGTCTCTTATCGTGACGATCAGACACGATAAGGCACTTAGCTGAAGCAGATAAGAAAAAATGAGGAGGAGAACGAAATTGGAGGCCTGGTGCCCAGAAAATATCACACTGTGCGAGACTGTTATATATTCATTTTAGCTGCTGCGATGCCCTCAATAGTTAACTCCAATTTTTTACACATACTCCAGAGCATGAGTAGCTAGACAGATGAAAGGGTCAATCCAGCCCCAGTGGATTTAATAAATAATTGTCACAAAAAAAACAGTAAAAAACGGATTTCGAGCCGTATTTTTAATAGCAGTCACGTAGTCTGGAGATCCGAGACCCAGCTTTGTGGTTACTTTTGCATGTAAACGAAAGCTGATCAAATGTCGTTTGACTGATGGCCTAATAATGGTAACTTAATACTTAGCTCAAACAGACCAGAAAACTAACTGGCTATGTTTAGACGGTAAAAAACGAGTAGAATTATGGTAGCTGACGCCTGCCTGTCGTCATTAGGTGCTTTTTCTTTGCTCCGTCACTATGTAGTATTTGGGCGAATGTTACATAGACGTTTTTTTGGCGCTCCTGGATGGGCCTGTTTAAGGCAAGACCATCATGATCAGCAAATGTTTCAGCGACGAAATCTCCGCTCCAGGCATAATCCCAAGTAAGAGACCTTAATATCCTGTATGGTATTAGTTCGAATATACCGACCCTCCGCCTGGTACGATTTAGCTTTTTAATTTAGTTAAGAGCAAAAATTCCGGGGGCCGAAGGGTAAGGTGGGAAGTCAGGAGCCCGCTTATCCCAAGGCCCTGGGACTAAAAACAATTAAAGAGAAAGCCTGAAACCAAACAAAAAGGAAGTATAACCAAGAAAAAGCCAAAAACAAACTACTTGAAAACAAAAAAAAAACAAAAAACAGTAAGAAACCCAAAAAAGACAAAAAACAGTTTTAAAAAAATGTAAAACAACATTTTATGTATTTTTGCCGGACGGGATGTGTTCTCACTTTCCTAGTTGTTGTTGTTTCAGATTGATTTTTATCTTTTTTGATCGAAAGAATGAGTGTGTTGGTGATTCGTTGGGTACCCTCCCTTGAGTGTTGCTTGAGTATTTGATAATTTTGCTGGTGACCGGAGGGTAGAGTGGCAAGCTGACAGACGTGTTCCAGACTCAACAAGAAGCAACCGGGACAGCATTCAAAACGACTGTTGGGTATCGTTAACACAATTTTAGTACTGTTTGGTTACTATTTCATTAAATCTTAAGTGGTGGGGGACACAATTGGCGCGGTCCGATTGTACCCTCCATCGATGGCAAACTTCCGAGTAAAGGGTCTTAATGCGGGTGTTTTGGTGTAAATCAGGGTATAGTAATATCAACTAACGACAACTAATAGGCTATCATCCTTATTATATATTACTTATCTCCCATTTAGTCCCAAAAAAACACCCTAATTTTGTCAAAAATACCCGTTTTCGACCAAAATGTGAACCCAAAAATTTTGGATTTCCAGGTTATTTCGAACAACAAGAAGCTTCTGCGCAGTGAACTACTACGTAGTTTGAACCCCTTAACTAAAGAAACCGCGCGGAAAAAGACTCAGTAGAAAATGGCAAAAAATAAACTTCAAACTTGCATTGTCAAAAGAAATGAAGGTGAGTCTATCAATCATTTTATATCAATTTTGCATTGTCAAAAGAGATGAGGGTGAGTCTTTCAATCATTGCATACTTCTCGATTCCGGAAATTTTAAAGTCTTCTTTCTGTCAATGATCTTGTTATAATCATGAGATGCCACACTTTTTGTTCATTTTTCCAAATATTGATTTTCAAAAAGTTGCTTCTATTTTTCTCCAATGCTTTGTAAAATCTTACCCTTGTTGAGGTACTTCTGAAGGCTTAAAGGACCGTTAGCTTCAACAATAGAAGTCGCTTCTAAAAAAAGCGCAGCCTGTAAAAATGCGAAGTGTGCCCATATCAGTAGTTGTTTGGTACATCCTTCATGAGAATTGTTTACATGTATATCCAGATATCCAGAGAGGTCAAGTTACTGTTTTTATCAAGTTCTGCTGTATTAGTCTGCAAGTTTGGTTAAAAACTGAAAGGAGCGCCCAAGAATACCCCAGGATGGGCCCTCACTATTCTGACAATGTCAATCTTATATCGAAGAACACTTTTAGTTCCCTTCTCGGAGCGATCCATTTCCTATCACCTCACGCATGTTTTTCACTACCAGACAGTTTCAGCGACGTTTATGCTGCCAACACACCTTAAGAATTACTACTTGAGCCATAATCCCGGATTGGCACAGTCGAACCCTCCGACG